ATGGGGAACTACCGTTTTTAAAGGCCAGGAACTCGAACACGCTGTGCGTGATGGACACCAACACCGTCAGGCCTAACAGTATGGGCGACGTCTCGAGGAATGTCTCTTTGAGCAGATCCTGCTCGTCGTCGTCCTGTTCCATGAGGTCGGAGCCCATGAACGACGTCCACCGGGACCTCATGGCCTGCGCGGTGTACAGTTGCCACCGGAACATCGACAGGGGCTGGTATGTCAGGTGCAGATCTATTTTGCTATAGGCGTGTACGTCAGTGGACAGGGAGATAATCGTTAGTAAACATTCATTTGAATAAAGTTTTTAACGACAATTAGTGTTTAAATCAGTGGATATACTATTGGCTATAATGTACGGCACATGGATGTGATCGTGAATTACATTAATCGCTAATATTGTGTATAATTTCTGGTGGTTTTAGTACACTATTGGATAAGTAAAGTGTAAAAAACTAATAATACATGTATGTGTATATGTATTGTACACTAATGGGTGTGATTATTGATGAAATCAATGGCTAATTGTGTGCATAATTAGTACATTATTCCCTAAATCTAAGTGTAAATAATTCAACCGATAAATACTGTACACTATTGGCTGTGAACTTAATATACGGGTAATAATAAAAAGCAATTCCTGTTCCATGAGGTCGGAGCCCATGAACGACGTCCACCGGGACCTCATGGCCTGCGCGGTGTACAGTTGCCACCGGAACATCGACAGGGGCTGGTATGTCAGGTGCAGATCTATTTTGCTATAGGCATACGTCAGTGGACAGGGAGATAATCGTTAGTAAACATTCATTTGAATAGTTTTTAACGCAATTAGTGTTTAAATCAGTGGACATACTATTGGCTATAATGTACGGCACATGGATGTGATCATGAATTACATTAATCGCTAATATTGTGTATAATTTCGAGTGGTTTTAGTACACTATTGGTTAAGTTAAGTGTAAAAAACTAATAATACATGTATGTGTATATGTATTGTACACTAATGGATGTGATTATTGATTAAATCAATGGCTAATTGTGTGCATAATTAGTACATTATTCCCTAAATCTAAGTGTAAATAATTCAACCGATAAATACTGTACACTATTGGCTGTGAACTTAATATACGGGTAATAATAAAAAGCAATTTGATTACACACTAACACAAGTAGTTTATCAATCATTTAAACACACATTAAAAGTCCGCTTATAGTGAACCCACACATACAGTGAACGCCTGATAATAGGCACACAAAATGGTTAACCCTTTAAAAAACTACATCCCATTGTATAACCAACTCATTGGACATCCAGCGAGTCCATTGACTACACCTAAACCTCTCACCACTCGCTCACTGGACACTATATTCACTATAAACGACTGTCCACTACAACACCAGTGGTCGCGCACCGGTAGTCAAGCACTCACTCGACAGTATCGTTGATTGGCATGTAGTCCCGCATCAGATTCCAGTAGTCATTCACGTAGACAATGGGGTAGTACTGGCCGGTCGTGGGCTCGAACTCCACGAACTCGTCCAACGGCACCGGCACCGACCCCCTGACCCACGGCGTGTGATCATCGATGATATTGATGGTGAGGTTCGGGTGCCAGTGGGACAGCACCTCCTGCTTGATGTTGGCCTCGGCTTTCACCTGCTCCTCAATGGAGGCCTCCGTTTCGCCCGTCAATAGGTTGTGCGTCTTCTTGTAGTAGCGTTTCTTGTATTTGTTTAACTGCCGGCGCCGGTGTATGGTGTCCGGCGTCGAGTGCCCGGCGCTCGGGTAGGCCGTGCGCCCGCCGCGACCCGCTTTCGTTACGTATATGTGCAGCCATAGGGTGCCGTTGTTTTGTACCGACTGTCCCATTGGTTTTGGGGGATTGAGAGAGAATGAGTGAGTGATCAAGCATCGAAATCAGTCGCAAACACGCGTTGATTGAGTACTCCGTGGCCGACGACTACTGGAATATATCCGACCTTAACGTGAGTGGCCGTCCCCTATGGGCACCCCTTCTACCACCTCACTGTCCACTACCACCACCACCTCATTGTCTCACACTTGCCATCGCGTGTGAGCGCACTTGTTGTGAGGGCTATCCATACAGACAATGGGGTAGTGACTGGTGGTATGGGTACGGGAGGGGGTGTTGGCTATTGGCTAAGCCTTGTATACGCTATGTATTGATGTATATATACTGACTATTGTCTACCTGTCCCCCACCACCACCCCTCCTATACCCCTCCCAATAGAGCACAAACGGCCTGTTCGTGAACGCCGTGCAGTTGCGGTCGCACAGCCCCTACCGTCTTGTGAACGGCGACGCCGTCTCCTTCGGACCGCCCAATCAGTCGCAGTTCTGCTACCAGTTCGTCGAGGACTACAGCGCCGGTAGCCTAACGCCCAGTGGGGGTGGTGTAGGTGTGGGCACTACTACTACTAATAATAATACTACTGCACCCGTCGGTGGTGGAGGCGCCGGTAGTTGCGTGTCGTACGAGCTGTCGGCCATCGGCTTGACTACCATCCCGGCGACGGTCATACCTATCGTCACCCGCATTCAGACGACTACTACGGCCAGCGGTGGGTCAGCGGCAGCACCGGGAGGTCACCAACAGGTGTCCACTAATACGTTGCGCTTCAACATAGACGCCAATCAGAGCCGAACCATTTCGGTATAGACGCCGGGCCTGAGATCCCTGTCCAGCCATAACTGACACTTTTTCTCCCCCCTCCGGCACCTGTAGCTCAGGGCTAATATGCCCACCACTCGCAGTGGTGTTAACTACAGCATCCGTTCCCCGCGCGTGTCGGTGTCCACGAGTGTCACCGCGCCTACAGGTGGTGGTCATCATCATCACCGTACAGGACTACTGACAATGTCTACGTCCGGCCGTACGAGTCTTCACAATAGACACCCATTTAGGAGCTCCAGAGCGCCGGTAGCCCGAGAGACGGCGGCGCCGGTAGACGACGAGGCGTCCGACAACGACAACGGCGACGGCCGCGCGTTCGTGGAGCACGACTACAGCACCCGGAGCTCGCATACCGGCGCCGGTCACCGGATGCGCCTACAGCTCCGGCCCACACCCGTCAGCACCGGCAGCCCTGTGCCTCATGTGAGCCAATCGGAGCGCAAACGCTTCGATAAGGAGGTGCAACGGTTGGAGCGCACGAAACGCGAGACCCGGCACCGGGAGGAGGAGCTGCGCCGTAAGCAACGCGAGTTGGACCGCAAGGAACGGGAGGTCGCGAAACGGGATCAGGAGCTCGAGAAACGGGCGAACGAGTTGGAGAAGCAGAAGCGCCGGTTGGCCGATAAGCAGCGCCGACAGCAACTGTCGGCTGCCGTCAGTGCCAGAGAGGGCCGGGAGGCGGACAGTAGGTGCGACTCGACCTCCGAGGTGTCCGTCAGCGCCGGTAAACGTAAGCTGAGGTCCGGAGCGGCCACCAAAGAGACGACTAAACGCCAATGCAATGAGACTAAAGGCGTGACTACTGGTGCCGCTGCGGACGATGATGTCGATTGTGGTGAGCACCGGGAGGTGCCCTCAGGTGACAGTAAGTCCGTGGAGGAGATCTTCGAGTCGGAGATGACATGTAGTGTCTGTCACGAGTACTTCATACACGCCGTGAACCTGAACTGTAGCCACACTTTCTGTTACGCCTGTATCGAGGAGTGGAAGCACTCGCGCGCCGGCGCTCACGTCTGTCCCATATGTCGGAAAAAGATTGAGAACCAGAACCGGGAGCTCGTGTTGGATAACCTCATCGACCGGTTTGTGGCCAAAATGAAGCCCGAGTTGAGGCAACACCGGATTGCGTTGATTGCGGAGCGCAAGGAAAGGCTGGAGAAGAAGGCCGCGGAGGCCTCCCAGGCGGCCAGTCGTGCCAACGCCGCCGCTCATAGAGGTATAGCCCAACGTTTTATTACTGTTATGACCGCCGGTGGTGGTGGTGGGGCTATAAGGGTGGCTGTGGAGGTGGGCAGACAGCCGCCCCCGTTGCGTGTGATTAGATATGATTAGGTGTTTGTCCGTTGCGTGTGAAATGTCTGTCCATTTTGGGCGCGAACTCTATCGCTGTTTAGTCTATACGAGTGGACAGTTGTGTATGTTTTTTGGGGGTACTTATAGTTATGAATAGTATTTTTTAATTACTTGGATTTTTATTTAGAGATTAGTTATCATTGAATTTAGTTATCATTTCAAAGGTTTATCACATATTTTTCAATTGATAATTAGTTAATACAAGTTATAATTAGTTATAATTAGTTCACAAATAAGTTATTTAAATTATAGCTAGATTTAAGGCACCATTTGATTGTGAATGTTATCTAATTTTTTGTGTGTTTTTTATCTTGAATTTTGATTTATTTGTCATTTCATTCAATCAGAAAGTGTTTGACATTTTGTTCACTCAATCCGTGAAACACTTAATTGTAATCAAAATGAGTGCTAATGTATTACTCGCTCACACTTATGACATGTTTTCTCAATTGAAATCTCATTTTTCAATAATAATTACTTGTATTTTGTTTAGTACTACACTTGACACTAATATACATAAGTATTTGTTAATCACATTAAAGTATTAGTATTTTTTCTTATCAATTGTGAGTTTTAATTGCGTTTTGTCTGTCTATATGTGTGCTTAAAGTCTCGATTAGTCTACCGGTGCTGTCAATGAGTTGTCTATTTGTTTAGTACAGTAAGCAATGTATTTGTGTGAATCACTCGCTATAGTGAACCCATCTATTGTATGACTAAGTGTTTACATAGCAATAGATTAGTCATCTGATAGTGTACTGACTTTTAGATAACTTTCCCTTTTATAGTGTTGATTGTATTGTAAATCACGATTTTTGTCGATAATAGACTTTACACTAGCTTTTAGTGCATAGGATTTGAATTTAATATTAATTAAAAAGCGTTTGTAATTAGCATTTAATTTACAAATAATTTTATTATCAATTGACTGAATCATCACTGACTGTCTGTCCACTTATGTATTGACCTATAGGTAGGTTCGCAGGAATCATACCGTCGCTGCACTTCTTCCTGAGACACACCACCGGCGGCGGCGCCGCCAATGACAACACGGACTCGGGGAGCGATTCGGACGCCGTTAATGTCATTGGACTGGACTTCTTGGGCGACAACAGCAGCGGCTCCTCCATGTCGTCCTCCAGCGACAGCTCCGACTCCTCAGACGACGACTCGGCCGCCGACAGCGACGACAACAACGATCACAGCAACAGATCCACGCAAGACATGGATGAGGGCAACGACGATATAGTGGTCGACTCGGACTCCGACCCATACAGTAGTGATAGCGATGATGATGACGGCGCCGATGATAGCCAACCGGTAATCGGTGGTCGGCTACGGCTCATCCAATCGGACGATAGTGACAGTGATTCGGACGTCTCGTCGGCCAGTAGTGTCTCGTCGATCGTGTCGCTGCACACCGGCGCCGGCGGTAACCGTTTGTCGCCCATTGAGATCAGTAGCGGTACCGACGGTAGCGATGACGACTCGGACTCGTCTACCGGTGCGGTGGACTCGGACTTCAGTGACGACTAGTGCTTATGTTTAATGTTTTTGTCACTCACTTCGCGATGAATACCTGTTTTTTTTCTATAGATTATTATAATTATTACTATTATTATCCCGAAAAACAAATGAACTATTATTTTGTCGTATAATTTATAAATTGAGTTATGATTTTGAACTGAATTTTCTGTGAATCCACGGCAAAGTCCGTGTCGTATAATACAGTATATATAATATGTGCCCAAAAGTGTGAATTTAATTGAGAATTTGATACCTTTTTTGTCATTTTTATGAAAACAACTTTTTTTTTCGATACCTTTTCCGATAACATAAGTGAAAGTCAACCGAAAAATCTGTGTTTTCATTATTTGTCCGCGAAATGAATCACTATTTTTTGCTTTTTATTTTTAATTCATCCGTTTATTTGAAATACAATTTTTTTGTTGAATCAAAATTTATAATCAAAATTAAATTCTTATATATTTGTGTTTAATTCAATTGAAATAATAAAAAACTTTTCACACTTTTCTCTCTCATCTAAACAAACAAAACATTTTATATTAAAAAATTCACTTAAAAATTGAAAAAATTATAAATCTTTTTCTGTTTTCCAAATTACAATTAAATAAATACTTTTTTCGTTTGTTATTTGTATTTAAATAATAAAAAAACACTAAAACAAAAAATACACTCATTTTTAATGTCTATTTATTTTTCTTGTCTTCACTATTAGTATCAGTGGTCGTCGACTCCACGGCACCTACAGTCCCATCACTACCACCACTGCCACCAGCGATCGCGTCTACCGGCGCCCCCCCGGCAGTGAGAGTCCCATCAGCCGCAGCCTTGAGGTCGTCCCCACTCACCCCGAACTCGTTGACCCGGGAGTGGTCCACGCGATAGATCCAGCGCTGGTACAGGAATATCAAGAATATGATGTCGTCCCGGAAGCAGCCCAACCGATACATTGTCGGCATTTTGATGACAAAGGCGAAGATGTCGTCGATGAACGTGTTGAGGAACTTGTAGGACAGCATACGCCACGGCAGGTGCGCCACCGATTTCATCTTGTAGTTGATGAACAGCTGAGGGGTCATCATTATGAAGCCTATGTGTGAGGGGAGGGGGTTGAGGTACAGGTGCCCAATGAGAGTGTGATTAGTATGAGTTTTTATAGGGGTTTTTTGTCTGTCATTCATAGATTCATAGACTGTATGTCTCTCTATTATATCAGTAGTGATTCAGTGGTTTTTCTATAGCTCTCTCTGTTTTCGAAACTAAATTATAGCTCTCTCTCTCTCTCTCTCCCACACATTCGCAGACTCACTCATTGCCTAATAAAGTCTCTCTCGAAACAATTGAAGTGATTCTATAAACTCTTTCTCTCTCTTATTTACTAACACATAGAGAATACAGTCTATGGATTCTATAGCTCTCTCCCATTCTCTCTCTCATACGTACCGAATGTGAGCAAAAAGCCGTAAATCATATTCAACACGAATGAATACCAGCCCTTATGCTCGTTATAGAGCAGTGAGTATACGGAATACCCGACCAGTAGTGGAAACAGAGCCCACGACAGGTAACGGAACGCCAACTAAAAAGGGAAATCCAATTAAAAAAATACTAATCAAGTGTCCAATAAGTCTCCCCACCTCCCCTCCCCTCCCCTACAGAACGCCTGTCCACTTACCAGATCGAACTGACGGGTCGACGAGTCGACATACGAGCCCTTATCACTGAACCACACGCGAGGTATGAGCCCAAACAGCCGGTGCTCGGTGTCCACCTCTATATTCATCACTTTCTTGATTTTCCACAACTCGATCAACAGCCCGATGCCCACCGAGAACTTGATGACCATATTGGTGTCGTTGTCCAACACGTACAGCAAGACTATCACCGACTGGAACACGTTGAAGAACACCGACCGCACCGACAGGCCCTCCAGAGAGCGCCGGTTCTTCCAGAACTGGATGTCTATTAAGAGTTACCGCAAAAATAGTCATTAATTTCATTGTAATTAAGAAAAACTCAGTGTTTGTATCGCTTTCTGATGGCTAACTCTATGGTCAGTGTGCCTATCGCTGGGTAGCCTACCCGTCCATTGACTAGTTAGGGTACGCTATACAGGGTATGCCTACGGCTATAATGCATTAGTTTGAATGGCAGTGTACACTATTCCGGGTGTTTGTACGCTACTTACACATACAGTACAGTATTATACGGGTTATGAGTAGATAAACAGCGCGTTTAGTATACAATCACTCGATTAGTAGTTCATTATAACCAGACAAACACACACACAACAAGTCTATCATAGCCTAGTATGACCTGTAAGTAGGCATCCACCTAATAGGACAGCCTATCATACGGTACATTACAGGTAATTATAGCTCAAACTACTGAGAGTAAGTCCCGTTAAGGGGTAAAACAGTCTATAACTGACCAAAAGTACACCTAAAAGGGGGTATACTATCAGAAAACAAGTGTTGAAACCCATGGGGAACTACCGTTTTTAAAGGCCAGGAACTCGAACACGCTGTGCGTGATGGACACCAACACCGTCAGGCCTAACAGTATGGGCGACGTCTCGAGGAATGTCTCTTTGAGCAGATCCTGCTCGTC